ATGTTGAATACCTCCTCTTTCGGCCAAAGCTCCTAGGCAGAGCCTCTTGATAATGGTGGCAGGAGAAAGGGGTATGGAGAGAGGTCTGGGCAGGTGAGAGCAGTTTCACACACTCTGATTCCTGCTGCAGAGTAGGCACAAAGGGCAGGAAATGCTCTGTAGAAGACACACGTCTGAGAGAATGGGTGCAGGAAGGCAGGAAGCTACTTTCCCTGCACCACCGGAATGGGAACACTTAGCAGGAATTGTTGCTGATAGATTTGTAGGTGGCAGGACTGCGAGGCCATCTATGAATAAGGCCTTCTACTGGGACTGATTCATACCTGTTTCATACCTGCATATGAATGTTGTAGGATTGTCTGGCTGTGAGAGGCAGAAAACCCAAAATAACAGTGACTTATAGATAGAACTTCATTTCTCCCACACATAGACTTATGTAGTATGGCAACTCCATGCTCCTCTATTTTGTTACTCTGCCATCCGCATCACAGTTTCTACCTCAGGTCCAAGACAGCTACTCCAACCACAGCCATCACATCTGCATTCTAGGCCACAGAGAGAAAGGGCATGCCACCTGCCTCTGAAGACATTTCCCATAAGATGTACACACTCTGTACAAACCCCATTAGCTAAAAAGTAGTCTCGTGGCCTTCTGAGCAGGGAGACTAAGAAATACAGTCTATCTGGTTGGCCATGCATTAAACTAAAAATTAGTTCACTTTTTGTAGGAGAAAGTGGATATTGGTGACATCTAAAAGTTTCTGCCCTAAGTGGGACACCCCTCTTTTACCCAAGTGGCATAGCCCAGCCAAGCATCTCATCAGTGACCCTTCCTTCCCAGGCTTCTACTCATCATCTGAGGAATCACAGATTAAGCCTGAACAATGTGCCAGGCACCACCTGGAAGGAATACCTAATTCACCACTTACATATGTGGACTCTGTGGCCCCATCTCCGGGAACTACCCCAAAACCTAAGTGTTGGCCCCTAAAGACCGTATCTATGGCATGAGACCCTGCTGCTCTGGCCACTGCTGATTAGCCAAAAGATTCTTCCCCAGGATCTTTCAAATTAGAAACAAGAAAACAGAGGCAGTTCCCCTATGGCACTGAAGCTGTAGGATGAGCAACACAGGGGTTGTTAGCAGTCACACGTCCTGCTTTGTGGAAGGAGGAATGAGAGGATGATGCAGCATGCAGAGACAGAGTGATTACAATGTTTGAGTTCCTGAAGCCCAGCTTCCCTTGACCTTCCCAAAGTTACACGGGATAACTTGATATCATGACCACAAAGTTTCTACTTTGCCCAGTCTCTTTGGAATTAGGCTTCTGGTACTTTCTTTCCCTTTTTTTTTTTTTTTTTTTGAGACGGAGTTTCGCTCCTGTTGCCTAGGCTGGAGTGCAGTGGCACATTCTCAGCTCACTGCAACCTCTGCCTCCCGGGTTCAAGTGATTCTCCTGCCTCAGCCTCCCGAGTAGCTGGGATTACAGGCATGTGCCACAATGCCTGGCTAATTTGTATTTTTAGTAGAGACAGGGTTTCTCCATGTTGGTCAGGCTGGTCTTGAACTCTCAACCTCAGGTGATCCACCCACCTCAGCCTCCCAAAGTGCTGGGATTACAGTGTGAGCCACTGTGCCTGGTTTGGCTTCTGGTACTTTCGACAAAGGTCCTTACTACTATATGAAGGAGTCTCAGAACAGGTAACCTTTAAGTTGTGCCTTGAAGGATAAGTAGAAACTATTAACTAAATAGACAATATCGAGGCCAGGCACGGTGGCCCATGCCTGTAATCCAATCACTTTGGGAGGCCGAGACAGACAGATTGCTTGAGCTCAGGAGTTCAAGACCAGCCTGGCCAACATGGCGAGACCCCGTCTCTGCCAAAAATACAAAAAAAAATTAGCCAGGCATGGTGGCACGCACCTGTGGTCACAGCTACTCGGGAGGCTGAGGCGGGAGGATCGCTTGAGCCCAGGAGGCAGAGGTTGCAGTGAGCAGAGATCAAGCCACTGCACTCTAGCCTGGGCAAGAGAGCAAGACCCTATCTTGAAAAAAAAAAAGACAATGTGGGAGAATCTTTCAAGCCCCGAGGCTGAAGAATTAGTTTGTGGAAGCACGCATTCCCATCTGTTCTCCCTGTGGTAGGACTTGCCATGTCCCAGGCAAGTGGACAACTGGGAAGGGGTGCTTTCTCCCCTTCTCAAGGGAGAAGAAGGGGTGCTTTCTCCCCTTCTCACAGGAGAAGTTTCACAGGCAGAAACTCCTTGGATGAGCAGATCTGTGTGAGTGGAGCCTGTGCAATCACCCATCACATCTGCCCAGCAGTCCATGCCTTAGGGCCTCTTTTCTCAACCTTTAAGACAATAAAGGCTGTTAAGACTGCAAATTCCAATGCTGATAGAGATTCTGAGGCCATATGCAGCTACAGAACTTTCACTACTGATGTGTGCATTCAACATTCATTCGCTCTCCAAATATTTATTGAGGTTTTACTATACACAGGACAATATGCTTGAAATAATGCTGTTACCAAGACAAAGAAGCTCCTTCACTCAAGGAACCCTGGCGTTAAAGGCAAAGATTAACCAAATAATCCCACAAGTAAACTATCATCGACTATGTAAATGCTGTGAAAGAAATGTATGGGAAGCCGAGAGAGGATCCCACCTGGGGGCCTGACAGGGTCTCAAGACAGTAGGTGAGGGTTCTCCATGGAAGAGACATGAGTTGAATTCTGATGAATAAAAGTCACCTATACTAGGGTGGGGTTGGAGGAAGGAGGGTGGGATTGGAGGAAGGAAGGTGAGGAGCTGTCCAAGCAGAGGCAGTAGCAGGTGCAAAGACCCCAGGCAGGAGAGCGTGCAGTGCATCTGAGGACCTGAAAGAAGAGTGGCTGACAGCAGAGAGCAAACAAATGAGGGGCTTGAGATGAGAGGGCAGAAGGCATGGGGTAAAGACTTTCGCCTTTAAAGTAAGAGAAATGGTGAGCCATTGGAGGGTTCTAAGCAGGGACTGACATGGCAAGATTTGCACTTTATGATCCCTCGGGCTGCTCTATGGAAAATGAACTAGAGCAGAGAGAAGTGGCAGCTAGAGGGAGAGGCAGAGGAGGAGAAGAAAATAATCAGAGAATGGGCCTGTGCAACCCTGTGTTGGTTGAGAAGCAGTAGAGGTGAAAAGCACTGGCTCTGAAACCAAACCGCCCAGCTTTGCGTCTTGGCTTTGCCGCTTACTCTACAACCTTAGCTAATGACCTAAGTTCTCTCGGTTTCCTCATCTCTAAAATAAGGATATCTGTCTACTTCTGAAGTTTTGTGAGAATTAAATGACTAATATATATGAACAATTTAGAACAGTGTTCGGCAGTTCGGTATACAGTAACTTCTCATCAAATGTTATGGCCCATGCCACACAGCTATCACACAAAAATAGATCAATAGTGAACCACACTGATTAAAGGTGGGGCGCGGTGGGCTGGGAGCTGAGCCTTGTCCACAAGTCCACCTCTACCACCTTGTCTGAGGTCTTAACCCACCCAGTCCTAAATTGCTGAGACTTCAACGACTCTCTCTGCCAAATGATGTGGGTCTCAGAGTGGCCTTTTAGAAGTCTGTCTACGGGGCACTGTGCTAAAGAATGGGGTGACAGCAACTGACCATTTTAGGTAGAGTTCCAGCACAAAAGGCTACTCTCAATGTTATTAAGCATAAATTATGACTAGAGCCATGAAATGATTTATCAAATGATCAAAAAAAAAAAAAAAAGCAAAACACTCTTCTACTTGATGAGCACATAAACGGTGTTTTTTTTTCCTTTTTATTTACTTTTAAATTTTTAGAGATGGGGTCTTGCTATGTTGCCCAGACTACACTCAAACTCCTGGGCTCAAGTGATCCTCTAGCCTCAGCCTCCCAAGTAGCTGGGACTACAGGAAGAAGCTACTGCACCCGACCCATATTTTTTTTTTTTGAGATGGAGTCTCATTCTGTGACCTAGGCTGGAGTGCAGTGGCGCAATCTCGGCTTACAGCAACCTCCACCTCCCAGGTTCAAACTATTCTCGTGCCTCAGCCTCCCCAGTAGCTGGGATTACAGGCACATGCCACTACGCCGAGTTAATTATTATTATTATTATTATTATTATTTTAAGCAAAATGGGGTTTTGCTATGTTGCCTGGGCTGGACTCAAATTCCTGGCCTCAAGCGATCTGCCCACCTCAGCCTCCCAAAGTGCTGGGATTATAGGCATGAGCCACTGTGCCAGGCCTCAATTTTTTAATAACAATGATGGGGTGGGGGGCAGTCCACAAAATGGATAGAACAGCCTTGAAGGAAATATAGAACTCAGAAGGATATGGTTAACAAAAATGCCTTTGAAGGAAGCACATGTCACTCCTGAGAAGTTTACGGTTGGCTTCACCACTTGCCTGCTTTATTCATGCTGGTGCCTTCTCTTTGCGCTTCCTAAGCCATGGCTCTGGCCCGGTTCCAAGCATAGACTTAGTCAACACTGGGTTCTAACATTCTGAAGACTTGCTTGGGGACAAGGAAGACTTGCATCAACTACAGGCTCCGTCAAAGGAACGGCCCCCTGATATCTCATAGCCTACGGCTAGTCAGGGTCACTGGGAGGTGAGGACAAAGTCTAGAAACCAACAACCCAGCCAGATGTTCTGGAATTAGGTCATAACGAGGGATACGTGGTCTACTTATGTGCCAAACACCTTGTTCTAGACCATTCCCAACATTCCTGACTAGGTGCAACCTCCTGGTGATTCTGGTTTTACAGCTATGGGACTACGTGATCACAAGAGCAAAGAAGCCCTCATATATCTGAAGACTGGGGCCGCCTATAAACCTGAAACTAGCCCAAGGCAAATTAGAGCTTTCACCAGTCCAAAGAAAGCATCCAAAGGTTCAAACAGCTGGGAAAATTTGGGCAGAGGAGCCCTCTCCAGAAAAGGTGGATTGCTGGACAGCACAACCACAGAGACAGAAGGAGAAAACAGACAGGAGCTTTACTCAAAATCACAAAGACACTGTTTTTCATTGAGAACCGGGTGAGAGTAGGAAAACTGGCAAATGGCCAGTTGCCCCTAGCAGCCCTGAAGAAATCAGGTAAATTCTGCTCCAGAGACGGCAGAGCTGCTGGTGCCATTCTTCAGGGCAGCACAGCCTCTTTCTGCCACACCTCACTCGGCCAGGGCAAAGTTTGTAGACTGCAGTCGCTCTGTCTCCTGGCAGATGTTCTGCTCCACTGCGTCACACTCAGCTAGGAATGCCTAGAAAATACACACAGGGCAATAAGGGCCCATCCAGGGATAGCCAACCACTGCCCACACAAGGCTCCTTGCTTAGCCATTCTGGGGAACCCATGGCTGAGACTCAAAACAGACTGTGCATGAATGGAGATGGGCAACTGGCCTGGGTTCCAAGGTAAGGGGAGGGAGGGAGCATAGGACCAGCATTCTGACCATGCTCTAGGCCAGCAATCCCCTAAAAGGTGGTAAAGGCAGGGAGCTTTGCCACAAGACCACTGCACAGCACCTGAACAATCGCAGGAAGCACTGTATGCATGAATACTGCCTCCAGGAATTGTGTAACGTGTCAGCCCTATCTGCTCTCCAGTGAGTTCCCTCCCTAAACAGTTTACATTCAAATATAATTACAGGGACATAGGGGGCTCTTCTCTGACGTTCAGGGTTCCTATTGATAAATAAGTAATAACCAAAACAAGCCCATACCACACACCATGCTGCTATACTACCGACTCTGAAGAGATAAACATGCATACCTACACATTAACATATTACGCCTTGTGGTGCACTATTACACAACTCACCTGAACCTTTTTTACCAAGCCTTTCCTTTTCAATCTACTGTCTTTGAAATTTTCTGGCAGGATCTATGGAAGAGTAAGTTGATAATACAAGTTAGTAAATAGTAAACATGTAACAAATAATCCTCAGTGAAAATGACATGAGAACACATAAGAAACACCCACAGTATATAAAACAGGTCACGGGTCACCAATGTAAACGAGATGTCCATTTTCAGGAACCCTTTCCCTGAGTCTGTATCCTATATTGCCTTTCCATGGCTCTTGTCCCTATAAAAGCTCCCTGTATTCTCAACGTCTGGGCCGTAGGAACTGATCTGTAACACAGACTTCATTTTTTTATTGTTTCGTATGTATGGATACTCTGCCCTGGCCAGACCATGGGCTCATTGTGACAGGAAAAGTGCCTGCTGCTGTTATTTTTTTTATTTTTATTTTTTGAGACATAGTCTTGCTCTGTCGTCCAGGCTGGAGTGCAGTGGTGCGATCTTGGCTCACTGCAAGCTCCGCCTCCTGGGTTCACGCCATTCTCCTGCCTCAGCCTCCCGAGTAGCTGGGACTACAGACGCCCACCACCACGCCCGGCTAATTTTTTATGTTTTTAGTAGAGACAGGGTTTCACTGTGTTAGCCAGGATGGTCTCGATCTCCTGACCTTGTGATCCACCCGCCTCGGCCTCCCAAAGTGCTGGGATTACAGGCGTGAGCCACTGCGCCCGGCGCTGCTGCTTCTTTACACCCTCCCTGGCCAACAGAAACACACAGTGCAGTTCACCTTCAAGAATGAAGCATCAGGCTAGAGATATCATTACTATCATCTGCAAAAGAGAACCCCTGAGTTAACAATTTTCAGCAGCCTCACAAGATCTGGGTCTGGCTGAATCCTCTATAAGTAATGAGGCCTGCAGAACCATCAGTCACATGAGTATCAGAGAAAGTGAAAACCTGTTTCCTTGACCATGAGATCGTGGACTCCTTGGGTCCCAGCTTCATGATGATTACAGATACTACTGGCAAACATAAGTATAAATGATAAAAGTCCTATACTGGAGGGCTGTGAGTGCCTAGAAAGCACGAACTGTCTTATCATTGTGCATTCACCCAGGACCAAGCAACGTGATTGGCACACAAAAGTAGATGCTTGATATTCTCAAGTGATGGGTTTGCTCAGACAATAGGAGAGTACATTACTGGAAAAGTGAATGTGACTGAAATAAAGACAAAACTAGTTCTTCTCAGCTGAATATTTACTTACCAGTGTGTCAATCTCCTCCAAGATCTTCATAAACTGCTCTATTGTGGCTTTTACTCTCCTATCAAGTTTGCAGAGAGCTTCAGCTTGCAAATCCTTGGGCAGAAAACCCTGTGGGAAATAATGCATTACTGCAAGGGTTCTTTGGGGCTGATGGAAAACTCCATGCCACAATACTACTGAAGCGATCACACTGAGTCCACCATAGCCCTGGCAGGCCAGGCCACATTTCAGATCCACAACTTCATCTCTCGGAAAAATTTAAAAGACTGGCCGTGGGCCAGTCCAAGAATTCTATCAGGTTGCAGTCTGCTCTACCTCGCATGACCCACTGTGGCTGCGAATGCCTCCTGAGGCTTGGTGCCAGTGAAGCCCCCAGTCACAAATGTATCCTGTACACAAGAGGCAGATGTTAAAAGCACAGGCTTAGAGTCTTCAAAGCCTAGGCCTGAAAACTGACTGCCATTTACTAACTTGTGATCTTGAGCAAATTACTTAGCCTATTCATGTCTCAGTACCCTCATTTTAAAAATGAAGATTATGATACTCACACCCTAGAGGGTTACTGTGAGGTAAAGGGAATATATGTACATGTGTCACTAACCTGTGGCACAGACACATGCTAACAAATGGCAGCAGTGCTTATTTTTATCAAATTGTCTAATGGTTCACTCACATAGCTTGGCCTAATGACCAGTTAGCTGGTGACAACAGTTGGATAGCAGGGATCTCTGAGGATGTTTATCACAGCCAAGAGCTACAGATACAGATTTCACAACATGTAGCAAGAGCTTTAAACATCAACCAACAATTCCAACTCAAAGAATTTATTCTACTAAAAAAACCAGGAATGGTCAAAAAAGATTTATGTCCAAGGATAGTCAAAGCATTCCACATAATGGCAAAAATAGTATTAAATGAATAATACAGAATTGGCTAGGTAAATGATACATTTATACAAGATGAAATGCATGCAAGCTTTGAAAAATACCATCATAGGAAAATGTTTAACTTTTTATCCAAAAAAAAAATAGTTTATAAAGTGTATATAACATTATATCAATTTTTTTTAAGATGAAAAATGTATTTTAGGCTTCAGTAATGGTTATCTCTGAGTTGGGGCCTCATGGATAATTTTTATTTTCCATATTAGTGCCTATACATGCACTTAAAACTTTTGTACAGTCAGCATGTATTCTGTAATTAAAACACAAACATATAGGCCGGGCAAACACAAACATACAGGCCGGGCACGGTGGCTCACACCTATAATCCCAGCACTTTGGGAGGCCAAGGCGGGCAGATAACTTGAGGTCAGGAGTTTGAGAACAGTCTGGCCAACATGGTAAAACCCCATCTCTACTAAAAATACAAAAAAATCAGACAGATGTGGTGGCAGGCGGCACCTGTAATCCCAGTTACTCGGGAGGCTGAGGCAGGAGAATCACTTGAAACTGGGAGGCAGAGGCTGCAGGGAGCCGCTGAGATTGCACCACTGCACTCCAGCCTGGGTGACAGAGTGAGACTCCATCTCAAAAAAAAAAAAAAAAGGCCAAAACACACCCCAATTAATGTTACACAATGAGAAGAAAAAATAAATAAGTGGTCTTGAGCTAGTCCTAATCCTTACTGGGTTTCAGTACCCCATCTCTAATATAAGGAATTGAATAGGATGACCCCCTCCAACCCCACTATCATGTTTAACTTGGACCTTCTATGAACCAACAAAATGTTATTTGCCTTGCCAAACACATTACAACAGCCCAGAGAGAGAGAAGCTACTTGTTCTATTTCAGACAATTCACGATCCGAGCATGGCAGGTGCTCTCCTGTGAGCATAAATGGATGCTGGCTGGGGTTTGACAATAACTATGACAATAAATGCTTATAAAGCACTTAGTATGTGTCAAGCTCAATCTACATTATTTAATGCTCCCAACAATCCTAAGAGGGAAATGTCACCATTATTCCCTTTTCGCAGATGAGGAACTTGAGGCAAAGATAAACTTGTTCTCAGTAAGAGAAAGAGTGAATCCAGGATCTGAACCCAGGGAGTCTGACTGCAGAGCCTGTCCCCGTAACCACAAGTTATATCCAGGAAGCTCTGATAGAAGGCAGAAAGTCAAGGTCCACGAAGAGAGTTACCTGCTGTATTCCAGTAAGTTCTTTATTCAACTCTTCCAGCTGGTCAGCTATCTTCTCCACAGACTTCTCCAAATGTTTCAACTTCTTTAGTTCAACCTCTTCCTCTGGACTGTTCTAAAATGTTTAAGAAGAAAATAAAGCCAACAGTCAACAAGAACAGGCTTGGTGTGGTGGCTCACGCCTGTAATCCCAGCACTTTGGGAGGCCGAGGTGGGCAGCTCATTTAAGGTCAGGAGTTTGAGACCAGCCTGGCCAACATGATGAAACACTGTCTCTACTGAAAAAAACAAAAAAATTAGCTGGGCATGGTGGCGGGCGCCTGCAGTCCCAGCTACTCGGGAGGCTGAGGCAGGAGAATGGCTTGAATCTGGGATGTGGAGGTTGTAGTGAGCTGAGATCGTGCACCTGCACTCCAGCCTGGGTGACAGAGCGAGACTGCCCCCTCTCCCCCCCCAAAAAAGAAAAAGCAATCAACAAGAACAGTAGCCTCTGTCAGGAAAAATACCTGACCACAACTGCACGAAACCACTCACCTAGAAATAATGGTTTTAACTCTGTTGCTTCTTGGAAATCAAGTCAAAGGGTTATACATCAAGTTTTCCATCTACAAAGACTCCAGACTAGACAGAAGGTGTTAGGCAAACATTCTGGTGTGGGCCCTGACAGCTTCGGTACAGAGAATGGAGACAATCCAACTGCCAGATTCAGTCTCAGCCCTAGACTGATCAACAACCAAGACTGAAGCCTGGAGGGTAATCACATTTCAGTGAACACTTGTGAGGAGTCCAGAATGGCAAGTCAGGTGGAATTCTACCATTCCTTTAAAAGGAATTCCTAAATGGCAGCCTCCAATTGAGCTCTCCTGTTTAACATGATGCTGGTTAACGACGATGAATACTTTTATTGAACACTTCCTACATGCCACACACTATCCTAAGCATCTTACCTATATTATTTTTTTAAGCCTTACCACAACTCCATCAGGGAAGTACTGCTGTTTTACAGATGATGAAACTGAGGCTTAATGTAGTAAAGTCACATGAGATCACACAGTCCAAAAGAGGTAGAGTAGACTTAAGTTCAGACTTTTCTTTTTTTGAGATAGAGTCTCACTATGGTGCCCAAGTTGGAGTGCAGTGACTGTTCACAGGCATGATCATAACTCACTGCAGCCTCAATCCCCTGGACTGAAGTGATCCTCCTGTCTCAGACTCCCGACTTGCTGGGACAATAGGTATGTGCCATCGTGCCCTCCTTGACTTCACACTTCACTCCATAAGCTCTGTGTCAGCTCCAAGTAAAAGTCCTATAGTTTCTTCAAACTTGACTCCTTGGTTCTGCCTATTCCCCATCACCATTCTCCCGGACCCTGAAGCAAGAAATTTAGAATATTTCCCCCTTCTCTCAGGTAAACATTTGACAGATAGGTCTAGCAGCTTTCTGCTTAGTTATGCTATCCCAAATTATTCATTCCTCTTTGTAGCTAAGTTCTGAGTTCCAGTCTCCAGTCAGTTCCAAATCTGGATTAGATTTTCTTTGCCTTCACTTTGTTAATCTCTGCCCTCTCTCTACTCAGTCACCTCACTCAAAACAAGCGAACTTCATATGCTCAGTAATTCCGCTGTGTCACAATGCAGGGCTGGCCACAGCCCTCTCATCACCTTAAGGGTTGCTGACCTCATCTGTCTTTTTTTCCCCTCAGTTCCTTAGTCTGAACCTTCCTTTCCAGTCAAAGGTTTTCCCTTGTGGGAGATTTTAGTTAAAAGGTTGGTTAAAGGGAGAGGCTCCTGAACTGGAACAGAGTGATTATTCTTAATATCTACAAGTTTATTTTAACACCAGACTCTTGCTAATTCTACTCCAAGTGAATGAGACCTGTCCCAGGCACCATTTTAACCAGACCCAGATTCTACCACCAAAACAAAAAACATATTATTAAGGCAGCACAACCACTCCTATTTCCTAGAGCAAAAGTTCTAATCAACAGGAGCAGGAGAGTATGAGAACAACAAAATTGGTAATCCTGTAAAACAAATAAAGATTGTATTTGTTTAGAGAGGGGTTTTATCAATGCAGAATCTGGGTCCCCAATTTGGTCTTCTAAACCGAAACCTGTATAAAAGACTTCAGTCATTTGATTCTGAGGATTTCTGATGGAAAAAGCAATTTACCTTTTTCCCAATTAACATGACCCGGCAACCATCTTGTATTCCAAGTGCTGACAATGGTGTTTCCATTTCCTTCAGGGATTTTCCTAAAAAGAGGAGAAAGGTAGGCCAACTTGTAATAATTGTACCACACTGAAAATAAATTTCAGCAGGATACAGGAAATAGACAAGTGTGTTCACTAATGAGAATTGGTATCTTTTTAGAGGGTGCCATGACCCAGTAATTTCATTTCTACATATTCATCCTAAACAAATAACTGGACATGTGACTCCACAGTAACTACTCTACAATAATATTCAGTGCAACCTTTTCATATTAGTGAGAAACTGGAAAGAGCCAAATATTCAGGCATCGGGGGCTGATGAACCACACTACAGAAGACTTTAAAGTCTTCAGTAGGCATTAAAGCTCATTTTTTGCAGGAAACTCCAATGCCACAATGAATGCTAATGACCCAGTGTTATTGAGGGGTTTTATCCAGGGGAACATTTTCTTTTTCAAGCATTCCTCTATTTTGAAACATGAATTTCTATTGTGTTTATAATTCAGAAATAAAATATTTTTAAAAATTAAAGATAATACGTTACATTACGAAATATAAATAAAATGCCTCCTATTATTGAATTATTTATAATGACTGACACCCAATGGGATAAGTCTTTCCCCAGTGGATACCAGAATAATGGATTCTCAGGGGAGTGGGAAGACAAGGGACAGGGGCCAGGAGGGTGTGGGTCCTGGCAGAAATGAGCATCATCCATCCACTGAGCCTGCCACATCCAGGTCCCCAGCAAGTTTGTTCAAAACCTCCTTTGAGTCAGAACAATGTGAGGCACTGGAAACACAGCAGTATCTCCACCCTCACGGAGGCTATTATTCTAACAGAGAAATCAGATGTTAAGCAACTAAGAAAATGATTATTTAATAGTAATTTCATAGAAGTGATGCAAAAACAGCAGGGAGTACCATGGTAACATATAATGGAAAGATGATCTAACCTAGCCAGGGAAGACTGCCCATGAGCTTCATCAAAAATGGTGAGATTTCTGCCATCATCATAAGACTTCAAATCTGACACCTGTCCAGATGTTTGAAAGTGTCCAGTACCTAGCAGGTCCTCAATAAATATCTGTTGAAGAACTGAATGAATAAACAAATAAATAAAAATTGTCCCAGTTTGAAAACAGAGTGACTATTAGGAAAAGTTAAGCAGTTTTAAAACTGTCGCTTGGCCATAAGGAAAAGCTGGAAAAGAAATGCTTACCCTTGGCCGGGCGCAGTGGCTCACACCTGTAATCCCAACACTTTGGGAGGCCGAGGTGGGTGGATCACCTGAGACCAGGAGTTCAAGACCAGCCTGGCCAATATGGTGAAACTCCGTCTCTACTAAAAATATAAAAACTAGCCAGGCATGGTGGTGGGCACCTGTAATCCCAGCTACTCGAGAGGCTGAGGCAGGAGAATCACTTGAACTCGGGAGGCGGAGGTTGCAGTGAGCCTAGATCGCACCATTGCACCCCAGCCTGGGCGACAAGAGTGAAACTTTGTCTCAAAAAAAAAAAAAAAGAAAAAAAGAAAAAGAAATGCCTACCCTTAAATATGAGTTTCTGAAAAGACTGTGGAACCCCTATGGCCTCTTCAACAACCTGGGCCAGGTCTTGGACAACTGGTTCACTGCTGCCCTGCTGTGGGGTAACATGAAGGTCGTGCTTCTCATTGCCTGGGGAGAAAGAAAAGCATTTGACAAAGATGATTCTTTCACATAAACCAACAGAGGGTGACACTTTATTACATTTATTTACCCAGCCTTCAAGGCCCAGCTCATATGCCACCTACTCCACAAAGCCTGCCCCCATGCCACCCAGCTTTCCTCTGGTGACCTCCTCAAGGATCTGTTTCCTCTACTATAATAACTAACAACATGAATGATATCAGCTAACATTTTAAGCATTTCATGCATAATCAAATTTAATCCTCAGAAAAACCCCACGAAGTAGATCTACCTATTACTTCTTATTTCACAGATGAGCAAACTGTGACCTCAGGCAAGTTAAGGCCTGCCTATGGAGACCCAACTGTTGGAATCAGAACTTGATATCAGATCTAGCTGATTCCCAAGCCCACCTTTTTCATCACAAGCCATCTGCTTCCTGTGGCCTGACTGCCCTGTACCCTGTATTGTACTGGTCTCGTCTCGCTTGCTGTAACCGGCAAGTGACTGCTTTCCTCTGTCTCTCCCACTGGACACACTTGAGTGCATCCATATTGGTGCTAAGCAGACAGACAAATGAATACGAACAGCAGAGCCTTTCTTTCTGAAGGAGAGACGCCAGTTCTTTTCCAGGGATGTGGACAATAAGGAGGGAGCCTGTGTCCAGTACATTACACCAAGGTTTGGTTCCCCCAACAGCTCCGTGAGATCAACGGGAGCCAGGGTTACCAAATCTACTTCATAGAGGAGAAACTGGATTCTTAGAAAGAAGCCGTCTATTCCAAGGTCACTCTAAACTGCAGGATCTAGAATCCGGGTCTCCAGATTCCCAGACCCTTGAGCCTCCCCTAGCTGGTTCTGGGGAAACCTCATGGACTTAGCTCTCCGGTGTACTGACTTCATTTGGTTGTGTGTCAACTCCAACAGTAGGCAGACCCAAAGGATGCCCAGAGTACAACGCTTGGACCCACAGCCAACTCAAGTGGCGCACACGGAGAAGGCACTCAGCAGATGAGGAGCACCCCGGCAGGCACGAAGTTCTGACTCATTACACACGGAGCAGTCGTAGACCACATGGCCAAATATATGCCTGACACAAAGACCACAATAACTGCGCGGGCACACAAACACAACCAGGCCCACGACGTAAAGCGCGGACAAGGTCGAACACCCAGGACCGCACAAATGGCCAGAGACAAAATACACCGGCCACATGGAAAAGTATACAAAAGACAGTTCCACGGACACAACCAAGAACCCACGCTTCCGGACGCCAGGACAAGCGCAAGGTCACACGCTTCTGGAGAACACGTGACTAAACCCACAGACCCCGCCGGGCTTTCGGGGCCAGCAAGGAGCCCACCCGGCGCCCGACACTCACTGTGGGTGACAGTCACGGTGAGCCCAGCTGCCGCCATTTCCTCCCTGGTCACCTCCTCGCTCTGGGTCGCCTCCTCGTCCCGGGTCACCTCCTGGCTCCGATTCATCTCTTCGCCCCGAGTCGCCTCCTCACTCTGGGTCGCCTCTTCGCTCCGGGTCGCCTCCTCACTCAGGGTCAACTCCTCGCTCCGGGTCGAGCGGCGCCGGGTCTTCTTCTTCATCCGCGGCCTGCGAGCGCCGGAGGCGGCGCCCCTGGTGGGTCGGTCATGCCCGCTGGCAGCACCCCAGACAGGTGGACGCCGAGAGGGAGGCGGGCCACGCTGGGCCGGGGGCTCCGACTGGCGCGGCTCACGGCCTGGCCGAAGGGCGCGCAGCCGAGAGCCCAGCCGCTCCCGGTCGCCTCGTGGTCTCCGCGCCCCGCCGCGTTGAGCCAGGCCCGCGCTTGTTGACCGCCCAGCGATGGTAGCTGAGCGCGGCGTCTTACAACCCCGCCCGACTGCTTCCCAGCCCCGCCCCGCCCTACCGGCCCCGCCGGCCCCGCCCTCGCCCTATGCCGCTTTAGTTGCCCCCAGGCCCCACCCACTCAACTGAGGCCCCGCCTTGCTACAATAAAACCCCTCCCACTCCTTTCACCAACACCCCGCCCCCTGCAGGCTCTCTCCGAGTGCACCAAGTTGTTTTGCTCTCCTTCCCCGGAAGACCCGGCTGAAAATCCGGAAAAAGAATCGGGAAACTCCAGGGGGCATATTGCGCTTGCGCACAGAGGGGCCGGAAGTCGAGGCGGGAGGCTTCCGTTTCTGGTTTTGCTCAAGTGTTTGGGTTTCTTCGCGGCCGCTGAAGATGAACCGACTCTTCGGGAAAGCAAAACCCAAGGCTCCGCCGCCCAGCCTGACTGACTGCATTGGCACGGTGGGCATTTGATCATGCATAAGTAGGCTCAGGACCTCTGACACACCCGACCCCGCCCACCCCCGGTGCCGGGCCCCTATTCTTCCACTTCGTTTCGGGTCCTGGGCCCCTTATACGTCGGCGCTCTCTATCCCACCTTCTCCCCTTCATCCCTGTTACCCAAGTCATTCCTGACGCCACAAACCAGGGACCCCGTAACCCCATCACTGCCTTGCCCTGCCAGCACCCAACCCGTTTTGATGCCCATTGCCCGTCCACTCTCGCCTTGATCGTCTCACTTCACCCAGCCCTAGGCCCATACACCCTTCCCACCTCGTCCTGCCTGATCCCTTACCCTTCTTGTATCTGTCATCCCCAGCCCACATCAGGACTCAGCTTGATATCCTAGGTCAACATACCTGTACCTCAGTCTTGGATCTCAGTAACACAAAACTCAGAACCCTGGCCCTTCAGATTAAGCCACCATCCCCGATCTAGGAAATGGCACTAGATCTACAATCAGCTGGTTTCACTGGGCACTGGCCCATTTCACGCGCCTCTTGGATGAGCTCTCAGCCTGGCTAATCTCTGATTCTAGGGAAATTCCAACTCAACTCAGTGATTCTCAAATTATTTTCTGCCCCAACCCACTTGAGGGCTACCTGGTATATCAGAATTGGGGCAGTGTGGCAGGGGAGTCAGAGTATAATTTATAAAAGCCCAGGGTTTCTGGTTGGGAATGCCCTTCTTTGTGAACCACTGGTTTTCACCCTTCCCCTTAAACTCCTCTTTTCTTCCTCTGTATTCCTTCCTCTCTACCTGCCCCTTCTGGATTAAGTGTATTGCAGTAACTACCAGTGCATTTGATATTTTCCCCTAAGGTGGACAGCAGGGCAGAATCCATTGACAAGAAGATTTCTCGATTGGATGCTGAGCTAGTGAAGTATAAGGATCAGATCAAGAAGATGAGAGAGGGTCCTGCAAAGGTAAGGTAGGCAGCAACCGCTGCATAAGGTGCTGGCACAGCCTAGTTTTAGCACTTATAGAAATAGGGCCTAGTTTGGCTGGGCACGGTGGCTCATGCCTGTAATCTAGCACTTTGGGAGGCTGAGGTGGGTGGATCACAAGGTCAGGCATTTGAGACCAGCCTGGCCAACATAGCGAAACCCCATCTCTACTGAAAATACAAAAACTTAGCCGGGCATGGTGGCGGGCGCCTGTAATCCCAGCTACTCAGGAGGCTGAGGCAGAAGAATCACTTGAACCTGGGAGGCGGAGGTTGCAGTGAGCAGAGACGACACCGTTGCACTCTAGTCCAGGTGACAGTGTGAGACTGCGTCTCAAAAAAAAAAAAAAAAAAACAGGACCTAGTGCAGGAGCTGTGAGCGTCTCTACAGAAGAGATGCTTACAGTCTCATAAGGAGAAAATATGTGAGGGTGTATCCTTTAGGGAGGAGAGTTTGCAACCAAATATGGAAGGGAGGCTGGCGATTGATCTGGTGAAAAGAGATGCTGGTCACACATCTAAAAGCATGTGCATGAGAATTAGCATATTATACTGAGAAGGTAGTCACCTGGAGAGGAAGACTAGGCTGTGCTCAAGATCAATGACTTGCCAAGCTGGTCAGGTTAGGTTGGTATACTAGACTGCTTAAGGAGTGGCCTGCTGGGAAAAAGTGAGCTAGGCGTCTGGGACCAGTGTTCTAATACTAACACTGTCCGTGCCATCTAGTTGTGACCTTGATAAAGTCACTTATTTTCCACTCCTGTTAGGTAGAAACATAAAATACTGCGTTTAAGCACATGGAGTGTGGATATAGAAGTACCTTGTTTTTTCCAGATCCATAACTTATTAACCATGTGAGCCTGGGTATCACTGAACCTCTATTTCCTCATCTGTAAAACAGAGATAATACCTACCATACAGTATGAGGATTAAATGAGGTAATTGATGTGTACCACTATGTCTAGGATAAAGTAGTACTCAGTAAATGTGAGTTATGATAATCTGTGAAGTAATAATACCTGTTTTTCCTTCCTCATTGGAGAAGACAAATAAAATGATCTACAGCATTCTATAGAAAAGGAAGGCTTTTCCCAGCCATCTTAGTGGATGAGGGGGAATGAAGAGCAACCAGAGGCAGGAAAGCCCATCTAGATTTGAGACAATGAAAGCCCAAACCATGGTGGTAGGAAACCAAAGAATCAGTTTGAAAGTGAGTTCTGAAATCAGCTAACAGGATGATTATTCATGAACAAACTACAGAAAGAGGAAAGATAAGGTTGATATAAAGATTTTCAACCTAGAGAGGTGAGAGATTGGTGGGCCATTGTTACCTATTTCCAAGGTGAGATAAGGTTTAGGAGTTTGGAATTATTGAGGTTAAGTTGATAGGCTATACAAGTGAAGAATCTCCCTAAGGCAACTGGATATACAGAATCAGCACTTTTGGGGCTAGAGACGGAGATAATATGCATTAGGAAAAGAGAAAGTAGTTCAGGACTCTGGGATGTGGGATGCAAAGACAGATAGGAGCTAAGGCTTAAAGACTGGACCTTAGAGATACCTGTTTTGGGGAGGGGAAGAACAGAATCCAGGAGCCATTATGCCTACTACTTTGAAGAAGAGAGGAAGTAGGCATGTGAGTTTGAGGCTATGGGAAATTTCTTTTACTGTATGTGTGTTTTCCACCTTATTTTTATTAAATCTGTTTTTCTCTCCAGAATATGGTCAAGCAGAAAGCCTTGCGAGTTTTAAAGCAAAAGCGAATGTAAGTTACACACACAATTTCTTTCCCTGTAGCAGGTTTAACTAAAAGAAAAATGGTCTTCCATTCCTTCAGGTTTTCATACTATTTTCTAAGCACTCTTGATTTAATTACAGATTTTCATTGACATGTAATTAAATACAGTTAGCTGGGTTCTTCCCTGCTACGTGTTCAGCAATATCTGTTGTAACAACTTCCATTTAAATAGAACTTTTTGCCATGATAGAGATGCTCTATATCTGTGTGCTCAGTACAGTAGCTATTAGCAACATGTGGTTATTGAGCACTTGAAATGTGGCTGGTGTGACTAAGGAACTGAAGTTTAAATTTTATTCAATTTAAATAATTTAAGTAGCCTTATATGGTTAGTGACTACTGTTTTGGACCAGATCTGTAGGGTTTGGTTTTCCTATTATTTATTTTAGAGTGTACCTTTTTTGTTTTTGTTTGTAAAGTTAGGAATCCTAAATGTTTGTTCCCTTCCACCATAATAAATTTAAAGATCCTTAATTTGTTTTAGGCGACTATGTCCCAGTTTTGAGCAGAAGCTAACTAGTATCTTTGGTGCCTACCTCTGTGGACTGTTCAGCTGATGAGATCCTCTGCAGGGTTATAGAGGTCAGGTGTAATTAGCTATTGAGGAACTAGAAAGATTGTCAGTATCTCTCTTCCTATATTAAAACGACTTTTTATAAGATACCAGATGCCAGCTTCCTCCTTTTAGATTAGATCAAATTGGAAAAAGAAATTGTAATGCCTAGACTGGTGAGAGTGTGGTGAAATGATTTACCTTCTTAATTGGTAGCATTACTAGTTTTAAGTAACCTTTTTTGTGATAAAAAGAATACAGGTTCATTGTAGAAACTTGGAAAATACATAAATATGAACAGCAGAAAATAAAATTTACCTAAATTCTTACTGCTGGAAATAACCACCTTTAAAATGCTAATTTCTTCCAGTTTCTTTCCTCTGCTTCTGCATATGTGGTATGTGTGCATATAACTTTTTAGAAGAAATGAAATTGTAGTGTGTATATGTAGCTTTTCCTTTTCCACTTAATATCATGAGCATTTCCCTGTTCTTTTAAATATTCTTTGGAAACTTTACATTTTTTAATGAGATTATAATATTCTACCATTTGCTTGCACCATGAATGGACCATTCTTTTTTTTTTTTTTTGGACCATTCTTTTTTTAGTTGGGTAGATTGTTTCCAATATTGTATAAAGAACATAGTGACATAAGTCTTTGAGGTAATATTATAATTTGATATAAAACTTTATTTTACAAACATTTGAACACCAGACATTATATCATTATATTAGGTCAGATGGATTACCTAATTATGGGTACAAAATTAATAAAATACACCTGGGGCTGGGCACAGTAGCTCACACCTATAATCCCAGCATTTTGGGAGGCCAAGACAGCAGATCACTTGAGGTCAGGAGTTGGAGATCAGCCTGGCCAACATGGTGAAATCCCGTCTCCACTAAAAATACAATTAGCTGGGTGTGGTTGCGTGCACCTGTAGTCCCACCTACTTGGGAGGCTGAGGTGGGAGAATCGCTTGAACCCAGGAGGCAGAGGTTACAGTAATCTGAGACGGCACCACTACACTCCAGCCTGGGCAATAGAGCAAGACTGTCTCTAAACAAATAAATAAATAAATAACCAAAATAAAATATGCCTGTCTTCAAGGAGTTCAAAATTCTGGAAAACCATTTAGCTATATGTATGAAGAGCCTTAAAAATAGTTTTGCCCTTTGCTCTAAGAATGTCACTTGTGTATATTTATCATAGAAAATAATTATAAAGACATACTAAGATATGCAGCAGGCCTGGCGCAATGGCTCATGCCTGTAATCCCAGCACTTTGGGAGGCTGAGGCGGGCAGATCACCTGAGGTTGGGAGTTCGAGACCAGCC